TTGCCAAAAAAACTATCCAGTAGTTTTTGTCATGCCCTAGCCTATCTACCATAAGAATATGAGCGAAATCGAATTTTCGACCCTTGCCGCGGAATTAAGAATTTGTCTGATTTTTACAGGCAGGCACTCTTAATAATTATCACTTTAATATCATGAACTTCAAATTCTCGTTTTCCCTTATTAAGATTTTCATTATCAAGATTAAGATGTTCAAAATTATCAATGAAGCCAGAAAAAGGAAGGCAAATTTATAGCTGATTGACTAGTATTTGCACATGTAAAACAAAGATCTGAAAAATGACATGGTAAAATTGGACGAAGCCGGAATCAGTTTGGACGCGTGTCCAACTTAATTTGGATAGATAATCGTTCGCGCTTGAGCGGAATTTTAGGCTGACAATAATTTATCCCTTGGTAAATGACAACCTTAGACTTTCATGAAGACGTCATTTATCATCGCAGTTATAGACAAAACTTAAGCAGATGTGAAATTAAAGCCTGAAAAAGAAACTTCAGGCTTTGACGGGATTCTATGACCTCTGCGATACCGGTGCAGTGCTCTACCAGCTGAACTATCAAGCCACCTGGGAGCTGGTCTCTTTGTGAGTTCGTAATATACCCGTAGATGGTGAAGACTTAGACTAGACTTAGACGTTCAGCTACAAAACCTCCATACGGTTCCTGAGTAAATCAAATTCTTTGTTAGGAATTCGTCCCATTAGAGGAATATGGACAAAATCTGATGAAGATTAAAGAGCTTCTTCTCCAAAGTGGTGCTCAGGTGGCGTTTGCTCTGACAACTCCAGTTCCTGTCGCTGGACGAAGAAACAAGAGAGTTGTCAAATACAACAAGGAGGCGAGAAGGTATCAGAGAAAACTCTACATGTCTTTGCATTGTTTTTAAGATATAAACACTATTATTGTTCAAATTGTTTTCTTAGTACTTTTATATTATGGATGTACGCGAAAGAACAATCACCATAGTTTTGTCTACACACGCCCTAAATTTCGCGAGGTCTTGCAAAAGTGCTCTGATTAGTAATATATGTATAATGTAAGTTCGTGCTAAAATGAAATACCCTGAAGTAGTTTCGGTTTTTCGGTTCCATTCACCAGAATATTTGAAAATGAAATCCATGAGAAAATTCGCTAAACCTCAGGGGAGAGAAAGTAAAAGTCACTTAATTACAATAAGTAAAATAAAATGCATGCTAAATCACTTTCATTATAGGTTGTTATCTTACCTGTACCTTTGTGTTTGCAGAGTTATGGAGGACGGCAGCGGGAAGGTAGAGATTGTGGACCTGCATTCTGTCGTCATTCATGAGTGTGGAGAGCCCCCTTACGAAACATGTAGCATCATGAAACGACCTCGGGATGTGGTAAGATATTTCTGTTAATATTTTTTTGTTACTTATTTGGCTGATAGGGCTGTTGGAGCAGCAAATTACCATTATTGGAAAAATCGCGAAGGTACCAACAGCATTTTTGAGTCTTATTAACCATTTTAAAAACTTCTGTGCGCACTCTCAAATATTCCGAATTGTCACTTTGGAATGCTTCATTGTGTTGCTTAGCAACCTCGGAAACGAAAAAAAGCGAGCTCTGTTTACTTTCCCGAAAAACTGAGGCTAAATAATGCTTCGACTTTAAACCTAAGTTAAGAAAGACCCACTGTGGCATTGTCCTGGCGCTATGGTTGTCTGTTGCCGTTCGATTGGCGCATAATATATTTCCTATCCTTTGTTCCATTTCGCAGCATTTTAATCCCAAAGGAAATCGTCTTCTTGGAGTGAAAGTGGGAGCCACATTTCGAAGCCTTTTGTCCAAAGCTAAACCTCGAGGTTGGTAGTTTTAAGACGCTTATAAGTATATTCTACAAATTTGACACTCTGCTTTTGTACCAAATACGGTTTCACTATGTATACAATTGTCAGTAACTTCACTATCATTTTTAGGTCAATTTTCTCCTCCTAAGGCTCCAGAACTGTCTGCAAGAGAAGGTGGGAAAGATATTTTAAACTTTTAGTTGTCCTTATTTCAGAAGACGTAGCGTGCGTTCCTTTGTGGTTATACGAATCAGGATGAATGATCCAAATCACTCGGAATTGATGAAATTGATCCTTGTTTAGATTGGATTCATCGGTTCCTGCGATGCACCATGATCCGACTGATTTTGATCATGATCCGAATCACCACAAAGGAGAGCATCCTTATTTAATTTCCTTATTCAAAACACATAAGATGTCCAGGAGTCGTTGGAATGTTCTTCCAACTTGCTGCATGATCTGCTGAGTCCATAAATCCGTGTAAACACATTGGATGTACTGTCTTAACAACAGACATCCGCTGGTTTTTTACCGCTAAAAGCGAAAAATGAAAAATGCGCCTTCCCCAGTGTCGTAGCGCAATTCAGAATTTTTGTCTTTCATATTCATAAGATTTCAAGTACGTTATTTTCATAGGTTTGTGAAGATTTAGTTTAAAAACGACCAGTAGCTGATAGTAGTCCAAGTCAACTTCGGTAAATTTTAAAGAAAGTGATTTATTGTAATAAGTAATAATAAGTAGTTTGTTAAACCTCTCTGGCAGTCTTAGACTGAATTAACGAGCTAGGTTTACAAGAAATAAATTGCTGGGCTGGTACTAACTTCTTATCTGCCCGATGATACATCATCATGCTTTGACATGGGTAAACACATCACAATACAGTAAACTGCGAAGATCTAGGTAAAAATACTTTCATTTGATAATATATAAAGTGAACTTTAGAAACTTCTTTAAATCAAGTCATTTATTGCAGGGTTGGCAAGTTCTTATCTGCACGATGATACGTCGACATTTTGTCCTGATATGGTGACCCGATGCCCAACCCGGACCACGTGTTGCGAGAACTTGTTATCTTTGACTGGATACGGCTGCTGTATGGAGCCTGACGCCGTGAATTGCCCAGATAATTGGCATTGTTGCCCCAGGGGAACACATTGCTCGCCTGATTGCAATTTTCGATCGTGCAAGTGTCTGTTCCCTTCTTTCCGTCCTTCAGCTGCGCCAAAGTTAAACAAGGAGCCAAAAGAAAGCAAAATGAAGTCAAAATCCCATTCTGAATTACATTCTGCGAGTGTTAAGGTATCGAAGGAATCTGAAGGTAAGAAGAAAGTGCCCAAGACTGAAAAGGGAAAAAAGAAGAAAAATAAGGCAAAAGATACAAACGCAACTAAGTCGAGAAAGAAGGCTAGCGGAAAATCGAAACACAAACTCAAGCTGAAAGATAAGAAGAAAAAGAAGCACAAGCAAAGACGAAAGGACAAAGGAAGAGAGAAAACTAAAAAGTCGAGAAGCAAAGCGAAAGACAAAGGTAGGAAGTCCCGAAAACTGAAGAAATTTAAGAAAACTAAAGCAATCCATGAAATAAACAAGCACGTCGTTAAAGCGCACAGAACGTATCAACAAAATAATTTCCATCCTACCACAAAGCAACACTGGGTAACACTTTTGGATGATAGACTCAGTTCTGTTACGAAGCATAAACCAAACATCAAATTCTCACACACCTGGGGGAGAAGGAAGCACCAGAAACTGTCTTTTAAATCGAACGGAAACAAGAAAAAAGGACTCAAAACGGATGCTTCCATGGCGGACGAATTAAAACACCTTATTGTTAAACATCGAAAAGAAAAGCTACGAAGAAGGTTGAAACTTCGCGTAAATGACCATACTAAGCATAAACATGGAAGTCATAGAAATAGGTTTATTGATCGGAGAAAAACAACTACAAGAAAGAAGGGGAAAGGAAGATCGATTCACCCGACTCAGACAAGAAATACTTTTAAGCATCGTGATTTTAATTCCAGTGCAAGACACAAGAACGTTAAGGCCGGAAAGACGCTTCATGAAGTGAAAGCGGCAAATAAAGTGGAAACGAATAAAAGCAGACATGAAGAACAAATGTTAGGGCATCAAAATCATGTTTCTGTGAATATTTTTAATAATTTGAGGCAGACATTACACGAAAAAGTGATAGCCAAAGAAAACATTTCCCTTGGATTAAATCCTTTTAAACATAATGGGAAGATTGCTGAGCATTTCGCGACCAAAATTTCTGACAACAAAACGGATGAATTAGGGAAGACCAGATTTGACAACATCTTGGAGAGTGAAACAGCAAAGGATTCTTCGAAAGACCTTCAAAGGACTTCTTCAAGTAGCAATAAAAGTGAACCTCAACATATGAATACGGTGAAATTGAAGGAGATATCAGACGCCTCAAGAAATGCTTCTACTAGCTTGGTTGAACATTCGCACAATTCTACCTCTAACTCTTCATCTGCTAAAAATGAAGGCGAGTCTAGTAATTCTATAATAGTTAGCGTTACCAGAGAGGGTCGAATTCAGCCCCAAGTCGATGAAAAAGAATCGAGAAAAAACTCATCAATTATCACCAAATCAAACTCCACTAAAAGTGGAAAAGACCAGAGAACTGCAGGGGAAAATCAAGACAGACTGGTGAAAGTTAATGGAAAGGTTAAACACGGTACAAGGCAACAAAATAAAACATTGGTTACGAATGATGCAAAGAATGCCTACAGTGTAGACATAGACAGTGTACGTTTAGTGACAGGTATGCAATATCAAGCCAAGGCGGATTGGGTTGGCAGTGCAAGTGGATTGGAAGCCGAAAACATCTCCATCGGATCTGCAAGTGGCCTAGAGATGTCTGCGGCTAGTGCAAAGAATGTCTCCAGTGCAGACACAGACAGTGTACCTTTAGTGATAGGAATGGGCAATCAAGCTAAGGCGGATTGGGTTGGCAGTGGAAGTGGATTGCAAGCCGACAAAATCTCTATCGGATCTGCAAGTGGCCTAGAGACGGCTGTGGCTAGTACAAAGAATGTCTCCGAAAAAATCTCCGTCGGATCAGCAAGTGGCCTAGAAATGGCTGCGGCTAGTGCAAAGAATGTCTCCAATGCAGACACTAAAAGTGTACGTTTAGTGACAGGTGTGCACCATCAACCTAAGGCGGGTTGGGTTGCCAGTGGAAATGGATTGGAAGCCGACGAATTCTCCATCGGATCTGCAAGTGACTTAGATATGAAAACTACATTTAGCGGTGAATATGATGAGTCAAACATTCGGCACATAAAGGTGATCCTCGGTGAAGACGACACTGAAAGCTCGACAACTGATCTAGAGAAGAATGAGACTACAAAGGCATTGCCTTTAGTTTATTCGTCATCAGAAAGCTCAACAAATGAAGGTGAAGGATCATCCAAAACATCTCCGTGGATAAAGCTGAATGCGGAATCCGATGATGTGGAGAGTTTCAGTGGTTCTAGTTTTGAGACGTTTTCTTCCGCATCTGGTAGTGATCTTCACTTTGGAGGCGAGGGTGATAACGGTTATGAAGAAAAGCCGGAGTATGGTGACCAGAAATATTTTTATTCCAGTGGCAGAGATGACAGTTATCAATCTGGATTGTTACTTTCGAGCGGAACGACTAGTTTGAACCAGTGGCAAAGGCCTCAAATTAAAGTAAAGGAGGACGAACAAAGCATTAAACAGCAAAATGAACATTATCCTAGTGACAATAGCTTATTGACCGATCTTTCTCAGATGTCATACAGTGACTGGGATGATGCCAGGGAAACATATAGTGGGCTTGGAAGTGGTCATTACGAATCAAGCACAGACCAATGGGGTACCGGTAGTGGAGTGGACGGATTTTCCTCAGAGAGTCTTTCCGCTGAGGCCAAACCAATTTCTTCGAGGAACTATATAGCTGCAAAGACCTTAAATATCGCTAACTCCATCCATCAAAGCAGTGGCGATTCAGATGAAGAACGCAAAAAAAATGAGATTGTCAGTAGGGAGGGTATGAACTTGGAAAAAAGAAACCATGTTTTTACTTCGAATTCAGGCAGTCAAATGCAACTCAGTGAAGAAAAGAGACGCAGGCGCAAATCATTGCATCAACAACACACTGAAAAAACGAAGGATATTGAGAACTGGGAAGACAGGGAACTCAAGCAGTTGTTGTCCTGGTTGTCAACGGCTAACGATGATGACAATAAACATTTTAACCAAATAATGGCATACAAAGATATAGCATCGGCGTATTCAAGATTTCATAGCATGATACTGCAAAAGATATCACCTCGTTTCTCTAAAAGTGAGCGCGATGACGTCAAAAGAAGAAATGAAAAAGAAAAACAGACTCTTCGCCCATCACTAGTCTCAAGTGCAAGTGGTAGTGGAACTGAATCGAGTAATATGTTAAACTATATGGAGCCAGAATTTACCGGTGACACTGAAAACGAACCTGAATACAAAGAGGGATCGAATGTCGATCTCGAATGACCACGAACCGCAGCACTCTTTCATGGAAAGTATCTTTTATGGTAAATAACTCAAATTGTCATACCTCCAAACTTAAATACATGTCACGTGTCGTGGGTCAAAACTCAGTAACTCCCTAGGAAAACAAGATCAGGTCTTGCACCGTGAGACCGCGGCAAATTTGTGTGCTAGTCGGCGTGAAGGAAAGAAATTTTTCGCAGTTTTTCTTTATTTGAGTTGGGAGGTATAACAAAACACTTAAAGACTGGCCCCAAGGGAAACAGCGTGTTTTGTTTCCCACGACGGGAACAATTAGGGTCTCGATGCGGGGAAACACAAACCTCACTGTTTCTCTTGGGGCCAGTCATTAAATGCTTATTAGGCAAGTCAAATGTTGAAAATGTGTTGCCTTCAACTAGAACCATAAAAGCTCTCTTAAGGCTTTTATCTTTCTTGCCCTTCAATTTTGAAATACTTTTTTATTTCTAAGGTGGTAGCCCAGTACAATTTTTGAAAAGGAATAGAATCTCTAGTTTTTCAGAATTCAAACTGAAAAAATTGACGATTTTATTACTTACTTATCAGTTGAGATGCGTTCCTAAATATTAACAGGAATCAAACCATAAACGTTCTCTACGTACACACTCTAAACTCTATTTATGATTTTAAAAAGCTGCGCTTGACATACTTAGCTTTCTTTTTCCGGCTTCCAAGATCGTATAACAAAAGAGCAAAAAAACTAAATTTGAAATAATTAGTAGGATATTTTTATTGTTGATATGTTGTTTTTTTTTAAATTCTTTAACCGAATTCTTATTTGCTTTGCAACTATTTTGTAATGGAATTGTTCTCTTGATGGGAAACGCTTTTAACATATTTTATAACACATTTGCTGATAGTCTTAGCTTACGAAACCGGCCTCAAGAGTCCTCCTGGGCCCGATGAGGATGAGTGAGTGAGCTTACGAAAACTATGTTTATTCGCATTGCTGACAGCCACCGTAATTTCACGTTATTTTACTCTACTAGTTGATTACTTTGTTTAACGAAAATCTTTCGAAAACGCCGCCGTTATGATGTATACAGTACAATGTTTGGAAAAAACATTGATTTTGTTAATGTAAATAAATGCGAAGATTTATTTTCTTAACTTTTCAGGATTTGTCATTATTAGGTGTTTAATTTATAGGGAAGGGGCCAAACAAATAGACTACCTCGTTTCCAGGGTCTCTCATCTTCCCGTCCCTGGAGGAAGCGAGACCCTGGGAACGAGGTTGACAAATAGAAACGAAAACAAAAAATAAGTGACATATACTCTGAATCAGGCAATCAAGCGTAATTCCAATTTTGCTTCAAAATTGTAAACATTTACGAAAGATAAGTAGACCTACGTTCTTGTTTTGATGTTACAGCCTGACTAGTCTCAGGTCCAACGCCTCCACGTATGCTGCTACCCAACATACATGTTGTACGGACAAAAATGAATCAGTAAAGCCTGGCTCTCATATCCCGCCGGCCTATCTGCGACGTAGTCGCCGGTTGCAACTGACAACGTTCGGCGATCTGTCCCAGTGGGTCCCCGGCGCATCTGCGATGGATTGCCGACGTACTCAAATTTGCACGAAATGCAAATCGAATTGCGCAAGTTTCAACCATTTTATCCCTAAATATGAATCGAATCGTCTTATTGGAGTACGTTGCGTCCGCAGATGATGTTCACATAAAATATTTTCATCGCCGACAACCGCCGACAACCGTCGACTTGCCTGCGAAGTTGAACTCAGCTCAACTTCGCAGGCAAGCCGGCGGTCAATGCCTGGGATAGATTATGATTCGGCGATAAATGTTCACATATGCCGTAACGGTGTCCCAGGCCGTGCCGGCGGCTATGTGCCAGGTATGTCGGCGGCATATGAGAACCAGGCTTAATTCATAAGTTTAACCAAAAGAAAGAATAACCGAGACGGTTTTTCCATATCCGATCTGAATTAGCATCGATTTTTACGATTTTCTTTAAATTTTTTGCCTCAAAGCTTCGGTTGAGAAGTGGGGAGTTCGAGCCCTTGAAGGCTACATTAGATTCCAGTCCACGACGCGACGACAACAACGATGTCCTAGTTACAATGTGTAACCTGAATCTGATCTTATAGTGTACCTTACATTCAAAATGATACTCAGTCCAATTAAAGTACTAAATCTGGGCCGGGTTGTTCGAAAGCCGCTTAACGCTAATCCAGGATTAAAAGTTAACTGAAGTAACAATTTTTCCTCTACAGAAATGTTTTTCACTGCTTATGTTTTGTGTAATTTTTGTGAGATCATTCAAACTCAAAACTGAAGGACAATTAAACAACATAAACAGAAAACCTCACCGAAAATGCACAAAAATAAAATCAAAATACTCGCTAAAATCCTGGGTTAGCTTAATCGGACTTTGAACAACCCGCCCTGGCTTTCGACAAATGTAAGTCGGTTTTCCTAGCAACCGAAAGGTGAAATGCTCCCAATTGCTGTTATGTAAACCAACCTTTATTTTTAAATAAGAACCGTTTTTCAAGAGAAATTTAGCCTAAGAAAGACAAATTTGTTTCGCTACATGCTGAGAACGTTCACAAGGATGAAATTTAGGCAAGGATTTTTAATTATCCTCTTGTTAATCATAAAACTAAAAATGCAAATACAATGTGAGAAGGCAATTAACTTTTTGTTCGTCAAACACAGAACATGTCGCCTGACATTGTCGCGTTCGCGAACAGTGAGAACGGGTCTCAGAGTGATTTAGCACAATACAACCTTGGTTACGAAATAGGTGAAAATTACATCGTTTTAAGTACGTTTCAGGTTCAGCATTGAAATTCGTCTGAAAATGAACAAAGTGATATAATCATCTTTGTTCCCCAACTAACGAGCGTTCTTAGAAGAGTGTAGTGTAAATAAAAGAATGCGAACATTCATGATTCTTAAGGTTACTTTCAATGTTTACACTGAAGGCCTGTTTAAAATGTATTTTTCTGAAATCTCTTCATACAAAGGGGAAATTAGCACTTACAAATTTGTCACGTTCGTCCAGATGTTTTTTCACTGAGAAAAAAAAAAAAATGCAAATTCAGGACGGGATATTTACAGTTGCCATCACAACCGAAGGTGTTCTGCTGCCGTCAATGTCCCTTTTATCGTCGCTCCTTCTTTTCCATTTAAATGTTAATAGCCTTTTATATTCCCTGCGATAGGAAGAATTCGCTAAGCCGTACACCAGGGGGTTTGCCGCACTACTGAAACTGCCAAAAAACGTCCATAAGAGTTGAACCTCACGGGGAATTTCCCACCAATCGATTGCGAATGCTTGAATGATCTCGATGACAAACACAGGAAGCCAGCTTAAGACGAACATGACAACCACTGCAAAGAGAGTAAGCGTCGTTCGCATTTCCCGTAAATTTACTCGAGCTTTAAGCCTTCTGTTTCGTGAATTTAATATGGGCGCGACGCGAGTAAAATGTTCCCCAACTGCCCGGAATATTTTGAAATAACAAGTAAAAATAACAACCGAGGGAATTACGGCGAAAAGAAGCAACAGCAACCCTCTCAAAATAGCTGGATAGCTCTTGTGTTCCATGGCGGCGTCTTTCTTAAAAATGACGCAGGCGGCTTTTGCTGGATTGAAAGTTGCGCCTAAGGCTCCGGTCGCCAAAGGAACAGTTAAAATCAGCGCACTTGACAACCACAGAGCTATCAATGTACCAATGGTCTTTTTCACTGTGAAAATGCGCCTGTACTTGGTCGGTTTCACGACCCGATAAAATCGGTTAAGCGATGTTACAACGATGGTCTGAAGCGACGCGAAGGCCAAAAAATAGATAAAGAAACATTGAATCTGACATGAGAAGTCACCATAAGTCCATTTGCCATGAATAAGCGTGCCGCACGTAAGAGGCATACATACTGCTCCCATTAAGATATCCGCCAAGGACAGCGCCAATATGAGAATGTTTGTTAAGCTCTGAAAAGAGAAATTCTTGAACAAAACAACACACAGGAGAAAATTTCCGAATAAGCTCGCAAAGGTGATGAGAAGAAAAAACGCAGATTCTACAATAACTACTCCAGTTGACCGCGTCTCTAGTGACGCTGCAAAGGTGGCGAAGTGTTCTTCGCCGCTTCCCGGGGAAAAGTTGCGTGCCATGTTTGAACCTTCAACGAAATTATTAACCGTCGATTTTGGTCTTACAGCTCAATGTGGCAGCTGATCTTGGTGTCAATCAGTGTGAGATTGAATCCGTTTGCATTTGATGCTATCACACTTGGTCTAAAAGCCCGTTATGAATAAATCATAATTATGGGCAGTTTGGTTTTTTTGTTTACTTAATCTTGTTTTCAGAGGGAGGTGTTCAGAAAATGACAGATTTGGAAATTTGCTTTCCGTCATAATCGATCAAATGAAAGAACTTGTTTCTAATCAGTACAAGAAATTAAAATTTGAAATCTTTCTTTGGGATTTTTTGCTTTCCGTCGAACTGATAACATAAGAACTAAACGATAAAATGTTTGAGTCTTTGATTCTGACATCTGTTTAAAACGTCGAAATATAGAAAGAGCCGTTTAAAAGTGTTACTTAGAAAAGCAAACAACATCTTCATCAGAGATTCCTTTCCAATTTAATCCGTGTACTTAGGGAGTTTCTTTGTTTGTGGATAAAAGCTTGGTCTCAGATCCATACTTAATTTCATGAGAAAGGTATTAGTTTTAAATGCAAGCGTCTATAAGTAATTACGTAAATTGGAATAAATTACGGCTTTAAACGCCATCTGTCACTAAATTCACTCCGGGAAATTTTTTTTATCTAAAAGTACAAGTTCCTTTGGTTTCACTAAGTTATGAATCAATTAAGATTCAGTTGGATATTCAAGGAAAAAAACCCAGCTTGTTCGGCTGCACCCAAACAAGCTCAAGATTAGCATGTATATATTTTGCAAAGAAGTCCATTTACACCGATTTAAAAAGCGATAAAAGTTTAAATTGAAAGTAGCATGAGAGCGTTAGAAAACAATAATAATGATAAAAAAAAGGCGATTAGCTATAGCGCTATGAAACTGAGGTAATAAGGTAATAGCCATGCTGTGTTGCCGTTCCCGTCATTTCCTGACTTATAATTAGAATGCGGTTACAGAAATATCGTTCTTTTAGGTTGTGGTTGTCTTCTTCAACAAGACTCGATATATACGTGTGTTTTGGTCTAAACTGATAAACATGACAATTTTATGGCAATCATATGGTCAAATTAGACATCGAGGAGGTAAGAGCGGTAGGGAAACGTGCGCACATTTGCATAACTATGTCATTATTATTGATATGACTACTTTATCAAAGAATCCTGGAGTTGATCATCCTGTAATCTTTAACTTATCCGATAAAAAATAATGATAATAATAGTAACAAAACCCCCTGATTTTTGAATTTTTCCTCCTGGAAATTTCCTTCCATGCGATTGTACTCCTGCAACTTTCAGATTTATAGTTTGCTTTTCGAAAAAAAAGCAACCGTTTTTGGATTGACCGAAAACTTTCTTCCGAAATTTTCGGATCATTCGCTCTGGTTTCGAAATCCCTAAAATTACCGAATGGAAAGTACCCATGCATGTAATCGTATAGGAACATTACGATACGAGGATGGGAAGACCAGGACGCGGGAAACTTTCGCGGGTCCCGTCGTGTCGCCAAAGACCGAATGCCTCAGATGAGTATTTTCTTAAACGACAGTGACGTCAATAACTTGAGCTTCGGAAAAACTATTCACAAACGCAATGACATCTTTTAAACTAAAGAAATGGTGGAAATCGTATCCTATCAAGCTTAAACGATGGTGAACAGTCGATGCTGAATTTAATCATCTTTCTAGGCGAAGCAGACATCTCTGTCAGTATTTCAAAGCGGAGCTCCGGAGGCCCGAAGGGCCGCCAAGCGGAGCCCCATAATCATACAGGAAAAAAATGAAACCCATGAGTTGATTTTTTCATGGTTCATGGTTATCATGGCTGGCGGTTATGCTCGTGGGCGCGTACGCACCGCCAATCTCGTTACCAGTGTCCGCGATCCTTTTGATAAGCATCAAGAAATCAAAACCTCGGGGAGAAATGGGAAAATGAGCCAGCATTATTTACAGCGGTTACTCTCTCTTTGCATGTTCAGAAACCGCTGTTGAACTTGAAGGCATACGCCGTATCAAACCGAAACCAGGATTTTCTGGTTCCGATTTTTGATTTCGTCCAGAGCGCATCCGGCCACCGCCGACCCAAAACGTGCGGGTTCTGGGGACGAGGGTAACTGACGGCTGATTAGGTCGCGATTGCTTTTTGATTTTACATCTAAATGGTTGAGATAACACTAGCTTTTTAAACCAACCGTAGGATACAGTATTACACAAGCAACATATGCAGACCAATAAGATGTTGATAATTAGCACCTTTTGTAAGGAAAATGTTCTTAAAAAGGAAACTACCTTAAGGGTAAACCATTTGACTTTTTGACGGGGGATGGGTGATTTTAAAAAATTTTCTGCAAGCATACTTGTTGCTCCCGATGTTTCTCAATTTTTTTCTAACAAATAGTCAAGTACACAGTTATGGCACGAGAATAGTCAGTAGTAATCGATCAAACCATTATCGCATAGACCTTAGCCAATTTACCTTACTCTACCAAGGCCCTAAAATTTGGAATTCTCTTCCAGTATCTATAACTAGTTCAAAAAGCTTTTCCAACCTTAAGAAAACGTTGATCGCATTTTTAATTACAAAATAGTGAATTGGTCATGCCCGCCCGCAGAACTTTACAATTTTCAATATATTAACTTCTGAGGTGGCCCCTGTTATAAGCCTGGTGATTTCTTTTGCAGATCTCCTCGCCGATTTTTGAGTATTGTCAATATCTTTTGTTATTATTTACGTGGCAGATAAATGATGATCATGATGATGACCTCCCCCCTCAAAAAAAAAA